AATCCCGTAAAACAATAGCAGAGTTGCGGCTGTAAATCATCCTGTAATGGTACCACAAATTTATCCTGGAGTGACATCACAAATTACTCCTCCTGTGGTAACTCCACCAAGAATAAAATTATATGCCATGGCTTTGGAGCTGCTTCGGATTTATTTGGAACAGGGTGACACTGTAATACGTATAATAGTTATATTAATACATATTGATATATATATATATATATATATATATATATATGTGTGTGTTTCAACTTTCCAATTAAAAATTTTTGATTATAAAATTTGACTATATATAATTTTATATAATTTGACTTATAACATTATAGAGATATTAAATTCTATTCAACAACTTTGTTAATAACAACAATAACGAATTTAATAATTTGTTCGGTTTGATTTTGCCGCCATCGCTACCGACGAACTAACTGTCAAAGTCTATTTCACGTGACGCGCAGATAGATGGCGCTGCGGCCGCACCATTGGCGCGGTAACCCGGATTTTGTCCTTTCTCTGGCCGGCCGCCATGGAGTGAACATCGAAGAGGAAAATCTAAATGAAAATTTGCTCGTAGTTTTGATGTTGTTTCGCTTATTATTAGTTAACTAATATTCGTATATGCAGTTTTACTAACAATTCAAATTACGCAATGCCACATAACAGTGTAAGTTCTTTCTGAAAATTAAGTATTCAATCAATGACATATTTCAACAATGCATGTTATTGTTCTCAATCCCCAGTGTTCTTTTTAGTAATATTATCATTTTTTAGGTATTTAAAAAAGCTTCTGCAACCATTGCACAATGTCAGTTGCGCACGTTAATAATCTTCCAAACGATTAATGCTCTACAAAGGCGACTGACATAAATTTGGAAAATTTATAAAGAAGCTTCAAGAATATTACTAGGAATGAGCTTAGATTTATAAAAATAAAAAAGAGTGATAAGCAATATAACAATATAAAAGTAGTATGACATTGCAATTTCAATCAGATTAGCATTTGACGCAAATTTATTAGAGAATAGTGATATCACAAAAGATGACAAAAGATTCTTTCTTTCGGTTTTTATTTTAATTTCCTACCATAGTGATAGTATTATAGTGGTACAATTACATATGCTTAAAAATATTAAAAATTGCACATCAATCTTCCAAGAATGCAATTGTGTAAATTGTTAAAAATTACGCAATTTTATTACATATAAAGCACATTTTACCTTCTATATATCTTTTTTTTCACTGTTTTCGAATAGTTTAATTATTCATTAAAATGAATTTTATTTATTTTCAGGTGACTCGGATGAGGACTGTGATAAGTTTGAAACACTGATTCATATCAATATTCAGTAGAAATTTATGCGACAACAATGGGCTTCATTGTGAATACATTCTTCATTGCCTTGCCCAATGCCACCTTTCAATGCCCAGGATTTTCGCCTCCTCGATTTTGTTGCCTTGACCAATGCCCTGCATCATTGCCTTCCCGTTTTGATTGGTTTGTCTAGAGCTTTATTTTAATGCCCATAATGTTTGCCTTCGCTTCTTGGTTGCTTTGTCCAATTCTCAGGATTTTTGCCTTCTCGTCTTTGTTGCCCTGCCCAAAGGCCCGCGATCTTTGCCACGCTGTCTTTGTTGCCCTGCCTTATGGTCCACGATCTTTGCTTTGCCATCCTTGTTGCCCTGCCCAATGGCCCACGATCTTTGCGGCGCTGTCTTTGTTGCCCTGCCTTATGGTCCACGATCTTTGCTTTGCCATCCTTGTTGCCCTGCCCAATGGCCCACGATCTTTGCCAAGCTGTCTTTGTTGTCCTGCCCTACAGCCCGCGATCTTTGCTTCCCGTCTTTGTTCCCCTTCCTAAATGGCCCACGATCTTTGCCTCGCTATCTTTGTTGCCCTGCCCAATGGCCCACGATCTTTGCCACGGTGTCTTTGTTGCTCTGCCCTATGGTCCACGATCTTTGCTTTGCCATCTTTGTTGCCCTGCCCAATGGCCCACGATCTTTGCACGCTGTGTTTGTTGCCCTGCCCAATGACCCACGATCTTTGCCACGCTGCCTTTGTTGCCCAGCCCTATGGTCCACGATCTTTGCTTTGCCATCCTTGTTGCCCCGCGTAATGGCCCATGATCTTTGCCACGCTGTCTTTGTTGCGCAATGGCCCACGATCTTTGCATCGCCCTCTTTGTTGCCCTGCCCAATGACCCAATGTCTTTGGTGTCTTGATTGCTTAATCTAAAGCTTTATTCGAATGCCCAGAATGCATTGCTAATATGAATCTTTTCTTTACAGATTCTCCCAATTCAACCATCAACGCACCGAATAATCAACACACCGACCTCTTCATCAGGGACCTCTCTCTAATTAAACAGTATGTATCTGTCTATATAACAATAACAATGCCTGCATCGCTAATATGAATCTTTTCTTTACAGATTTTCCCAATTCAATCATCAACGCAACGGATAAACAACACACCGACCTCTTCATCAGGGACCTCTCTCTAATTAATAAGTATGTATCTGTCTATACATCAATGCCTGCATCGCTAATACGAATCTTTTCTTTACAGATTTTCCCAATTCAACCATCAATGCACCGGATAAACAACACACCGACTTCTTCGTCAGGGACCTCTCTCTAATTATACAGTATGTATCTGTCTATACATTAATGCCTGCATCGCTAATATGAATCTTTTCTTTACAGATTCTCCCAATTCAACCATCGACAACACACCGACCTCTTTATCATGGACCTCTCTCTAATTAAACAGTATGTATCTGTCTATATAACAATAACAATGCCTGCATCGCTAATATGACCGAATAAACAACACACCGACCTCTTCATCAGGGACCTCTCTCTAATTAAACAGTATGTATCTGTCTATATAACAATAACAATGCCTGCATCGCTAATATGATTCTTTTCTTTACAGATTCTCCCAATTCAACCATCAACGCACCGAATAGTCAACACACCGACCTCTTCATCAGGGACCTCTCTCTAATTAAACAGGATGTATCTGTCTATATAACAATAACAATGCCTGCATCGCTAATATGATTCTTTTCTTTACAGATTCTCCCAATTCAACCATCAACGCACCGAATAAACAACACACCGACCTCTTCATCAGGGACCTCTCTCTAATTATAAAGTATGTATCTGTCTATACATTAATGCCTGCATCGCTAATATGAATCTTTTCTTTACAGATTCTCCCAATTCAACCATCGTCAACACACCGACCTCTTCATCAGGGACCTCTCTCTAATTAAACAGGATGTATCTGTCTATATAACAATAACAATGCCTGCATCGCTAATATGATTCTTTTCTTTACAGATTCTCCCAATTCAACCATCAACGCACCGAATAAACAACACACCGACCTCTTCATCAGGGACCTCTCTCTAATTATAAAGTATGTATCTGTCTATACATTAATGCCTGCATCGCTAACATGAATCTTTTCTTTACAGATTCTCCCAATTCAACCATCAACGCACCGAATAAACAACACACCGACCTCTTCATCAGGGACCTCTCTCTAATTATAAAGTATGTATCTGTCTATACATTAATGCCTGCATCGCTAATATGAATCTTTTCTTTACAGATTCTCCCAAATCAACCATCAACGCACCGAATAAACAACACACCGACCTCTTCATCAGGGACCTCTCTCTAATTATAAAGTATGTATCTGTCTATACATTAATGCCTGCATCGCTAATATGAATCTTTTCTTTACAGATTCTCCCAAATCAACCATCAACGCACCGAATAAACAACACACCGACCTCTTCATCAGGGACCTCTCTCTAATTATAAAGTATGTATCTGTCTATACATTAATGCCTGCATCGCTAATATGAATCTTTTCTTTACAGATTCTCCCAAATCAACCATCAACGCACCGAATAAACAACACACCGACCTCTTCATCAGGGACCTCTCTCTAATTATAAAGTATGTATCTGTCTATACATTAATGCCTGCATCGCTAACATTAATCTTTTCTTTACAGATTCTCCCAATTCAACCATCGACAACACACCGACCTCTTTATCAGGGACCTCTCTCTAATTAAACAGTATGTATTGTCTATATAACAATAACAATGCCTGCATCGCTAATATGAATCTTTTCTTTACAGATTCTCCCAATTCAACCATCGACAACACACCGACCTCTTTATCAGGGACCTCTCTCTAATTAAACAGTATGTATCTGTCTATACAACAATAACAATGCCTGCATCGCTAACATGAATCTTTTCTTTACAGATTCTCCCAATTCAACCATCAACGCACCGAATAAACAACACACCGACCTCTTCATCAGGGACCTCTCTCTAATTATAAAGTATGTATCTGTCTATACATTAATGCCTGCATCGCTAATATGAATCTTTTCTTTACAGATTCTCCCAATTCAACCATCAACGCACCGAATAAACAACACACCGACCTCTTCATCAGGGACCTCTCTCCAATTATAAAGTATGTATATGTCTATATAACAATAACAATGCCTGCATCGCTAACATGAATCTTTTCTTTACAGATTCTTCCAATTCAACCATCAACGCACCCAATAAACAACACACCGACCTCTTCATCAGGGACCTCTCTCTAATTATAAAGTATGTATCTGTCTATACATTAATGCCTGCATCGCTAATATGAATCTTTTCTTTACAGATTCTCCCAATTCAACCATCAACGCACCGAATAAACAACACACCGACCTCTCCATCAGGGACCTCTCTCTAATTACAGAGTATGTATATGTCTATATAACAATAACAATGCCTGCATCGCTAATATGATTCTTTTCTTTACAGATTCTCCCAATTCAACCATCAACGCACCGAATAAACAATACACCGACCTCTCCATCATCAGGGACCTCTCTCTAATTACAGAGTATGTATCTGTCTATATAACAATAACAATGCCTGCATCGCTAACATGAATCTTTTCTTTACAGATTCTCCCAATTCAACCATCAACGCACCGAATAAACAACACACCGACCTCTTCATCAGGGACCTCTCTCTAATTACAGAGTATGTATATGTCTATATAACAATAACAATGCCTGCATCGCTAACATGAATCTTTTCTTTACAGATTCTTCCAATTCAACCATCAACGCACCGAATAAACAACACACCGACCTCTTCATCAGGGACCTCTCTCTAATTACAGAGTATGTATATGTCTATATAACAATAACAATGCCTGCATCGCTAACATGAATCTTTTCTTTACAGATTCTTCCAATTCAACCATCAACGCACCGAATAAACAACACACCGACCTCTTCATCAGGGACCTCTCTCTAATTACAGAGTATGTATATGTCTATATAACAATAACAATGCCTGCATCGCTAACATGAATCTTTTCTTTACAGATTCTTCCAATTCAACCATCAACGCACCGAATAAACAACACACCGACCTCTTCATCAGGGACCTCTCTCTAATTATAAAGTATGTATCTGTCTATACATTAATGCCTGCATCGCTAATATGATTCTTTTCTTTACAGATTCTCCCAATTCAACCATCAACGCACCGAATAAACAACACACCGACCTCTTCATCAGGGACCTCTCTCTAATTACAGAGTATGTATATGTCTATATAACAATAACAATGCCTGCATCGCTAACATGAATCTTTTCTTTACAGATTCTTCCAATTCAACCATCAACGCACCGAATAAACAACACACCGACCTCTTCATCAGGGACCTCTCTCTAATTACAGAGTATGTATATGTCTATATAACAATAACAATGCCTGCATCGCTAATATGATTCTTTTCTTTACAGATTCTCCCAATTCAACCATCAACGCACCGAATAAACAATACACCGACCTCTCCATCAGGGACCTCTCTCTAATTGCAGAGTATGTATATGTCTATATAACAATATAAATGCCTGCATCGCTAACATGAATCTTTTCTTTACAGATTCTTCCAATTCAACCATCAACGCACCAAATAAACAACACACAGACCTCTCCATCAGGGACCTCTCTCTAATTGCAGAGTATGTATATGTCTATATAACAATAACAATGCCTGCATCGCTAACATGAATCTTTTCTTTACAGATTCTTCCAATTCAACCATCAACGCACCGAATAAACAACACACCGACCTCTTCATCAGGGACCTCTCTCTAATTACAGAGTATGTATATGTCTATATAACAATAACAATGCCTGCATCGCTAACATGAATCTTTTCTTTACAGATTCTTCCAATTCAACCATCAACGCACCGAATAAACAACACACCGACCTCTTCATCAGGGACCTCTCTCTAATTACAGAGTATGTATATGTCTATATAACAATAACAATGCCTGCATCGCTAACATGAATCTTTTCTTTACAGATTCTTCCAATTCAACCATCAACGCACCGAATAAACAACACACCGACCTCTTCATCAGGGACCTCTCTCTAATTACAGAGTATGTATATGTCTATATAACAATAACAATGCCTGCATCGCTAATATGATTCTTTTCTTTACAGATTCTCCCAATTCAACCATCAACGCACCGAATAAACAATACACCGACCTCTCCATCAGGGACCTCTCTCTAATTGCAGAGTATGTATATGTCTATATAACAATATAAATGCCTGCATCGCTAACATGAATCTTTTCTTTACAGATTCTTCCAATTCAACCATCAACGCACCAAATAAACAACACACAGACCTCTCCATCAGGGACCTCTCTCTAATTACAGAGTATGTATATGTCTATATAACAATAACAATGCCTGCATCGCTAACATGAATCTTTTCTTTACAGATTCTTCCAATTCAACCATCAACGCACCGAATAAACAACACACCGACCTCTTCATCAGGGACCTCTCTCTAATTATAAAGTATGTATATGTCTATATAACAATAACAATGCCTGCATCGCTAACATGAATCTTTTCTTTACAGATTCTTCCAATTCAACCATCAACGCACCGAATAAACAACACACCGACCTCTTCATCAGGGACCTCTCTCTAATTACAGAGTATGTATATGTCTATATAACAATAACAATGCCTGCATCGCTAACATGAATCTTTTCTTTACAGATTCTTCCAATTCAACCATCAACGCACCGAATAAACAACACACCGACCTCTTCATCAGGGACCTCTCTCTAATTACAGAGTATGTATATGTCTATATAACAATAACAATGCCTGCATCGCTAATATGATTCTTTCTTTACAGATTCTTCCCATTCAACCATCAACGCACCGAATAAACAATACACCGACCTCTTCATCAGGGACCTCTCTCTAATTGCAGAGTATGTATATGTCTATATAACAATATAAATGCCTGCATCGCTAACATGAATCTTTTCTTTACAGATTCTTCCAATTCAACCATCAACGCACCAAATAAACAACACACAGACCTCTCCATCAGGGACCTCTCTCTAATTGCAGAGTATGTATATGTCTATATAACAATAACAATGCCTGCATCGCTAACATGAATCTTTTCTTTACAGATTCTTCCAATTCAACCATCAACGCACCAAATAAACAACACACAGACCTCATCAGGGACCGATTCTTCAACTATTAATGCCCCGGAGAAGCTTCAAGATTGCGTAGAAGTTCATGCGAGCGTGCAAGATAATGTGAAGTGACCGACAACAATGGACTTTATTGTAAAGAGAATCTTGATTGCCTTACCCGAAGCCGCCTTTGAATGCCCAGGAGTTTTGCCTCCGCGTTTTGGTTGCTTAGTCCAATTCCCAGCATCTTTGCCTCCAATGCCTTATTGAATGCCCTCCGTCATGCCTCCTCGACTTGACCGCCGATGCCTTGTATCTTCGTCTCCCTGTTCTGATTGTTTTGTCTAGAGCCTTATTTTGATGCCCATAATGTTTGCCTCCGCGTCTTGGTTGCTTTGTCCAATTCCCAGCATCTTTGCCTCCAATGCCTTATTGAATGCCCTCCATCATGCCTCCTCGACTTAGTTGCCTTGACCTCGAATGCCCTGCATATTTGCCTCCCCGTTCTTATTGTTTTGTATACAGCCTTATTTTGTTGCCCATAATGTTTGCCTCCGCGTCTTGGTTGCTTTGTCCAATTCCTAGGGTCTTTGCCTCCTCGTCTTTGCCCTCCAATGCCTTATTGAATGCTCTCCATCATGCCTCCACGACTTAGCTGCCTTGACCTGCAATGCCTTATCGAATGCCCTGCATCTTTGCCTCTCCGTTCTTATTGTTTTGTATACAGCCTTATTTTGTTGCCCATAATGTTTGCCTCCGCGTCTTGGTTGCTTTGTCCAATTCCCAGCATCTTTGCCTCCAATGCCTTATTGAATGCCCTCCATCATGCCTCCTCGACTTAGTTGCCTTGGCCTCTAATGCCCTATCGAATGCCCTACATCTTTGCCTCTCCGTTTTGATCGTTCTGTCTAGAGCCTTATTTTAGTGCCCTATATCTTCGAATGTGTCGCTTTCTTGTTGCATCTTGATGATCTTTATTGTTAATCTTGGATAACTCATGGTGCCCCCCTTATTTGAATGACTACGGTCTTCGTTTTTCTAAGTCTTGTCTTTACAATTGAAGCTCCTTATTGTCAGTAACTTCACTTTGTCCATGATTCATATAATCAGTGATAATTATAATTAATATTAATTATAATGTTTATATAATAGTAGTAATCCTAACTAATACTGATAATGTTTATAATAGTAGTAATTGCAATTAATTTTAGTAATAATAATAATTATTAGTTATAAATACTGTTTTATTGTATTTAGAGTGTTATAATAATATAATTAATATTTGTAATGTAATGATCTAACCATGTGTGTAATGTCAAATGAACTATCAAATACAATTATTTAAACTGTATCTGTAAGTGTTTAATTCAATTTCTATCAATTTCAGGGATATTCAATTAAAGTTAAAACACTTATGTATACTTGCTAATTTATCATCATCAACCATTAATATTATTTATTCGATTCGATTTCGATTAAGTAAATTTCAAGTTAAGAAATACATGGACTTTTGAATTGAGTATAAAGTCATGGATATATCCATGATTTTTTGACATGAAATATTGAAAGAAAAAATGTGTGTTTTATACATGTTTAATTTGAGTGAAAAAGCGTTGGATATATATTTAACGAGATTGAAGTGAGTGAAAATGTGAATATTTTAAAGTTTAGTTTGAATATAGCTACTAATATGTTGAAATTATTGTATTATACGATGTTAATAAAATTATTGTAATTGTAATAACAACAACTTTTAATTGATATTTCATCTTTTTAATTAGCTATATACTTTAGTTAATATGAGCATGTTATTAGATTGTCTTTGCAATTTAACTTAGAATTATTAATGGCTCAAAGACTAATTATTTATTTCAACAACTCTATGACAACAGATTAATTAAATAGTTCAATTTAATTATTAAGTATAACTAGTGTTAGTTAGTTTTACTTAACTAAGAAAAATATTTTTTTATGTCTTTTTTTAACTTTAATAAATATGAGCAATTTATTAATTTAATTACTTTATTATTTTATTACTTCATTATAAAGGCTAAGATTGGGTTTGCAATTTTGCTCATAATTAAATTAATTATTTGCACAAAGACTTATTGTAGCTGCTTTATTGCAATTCGATCAATTAATCAGTGTATTTTAATTAATATGTATAACAAGTATCAGTTAGTTTTACTTAACTTAGAAAAAATATTTCCTTAGTTACTTTAATTAATTTAGATTGCATAATAATTAGTTAATATTAATTAATACCTATAACTTATATTAATTATTTTTTGCTTCTAAACCTATAAAAAAAATACATCTTAAAGACTTAGAATTTTTTTTTCTATTTGTTATAACTTTTTTATTTAATTTAACATATTTATTACCTTAATTAAATCCCGCGTGGTAAGGGATTTTTTTAATCCCCAGGTTCTGCGGTTACCTAACCATGCAACCCTGGTTTAAGGTAACCGGAACCCTGAACGTCAGGTAACCGGAATTCGGTAAACCCTGACGCACGGGGTCGGGATGGGATTAGCTACCCTACAATTTTACAATTAATTTGCTTACATCGATTTTTTATGTTTTACCTTACCTGCGTCTCGAACCTGCTACCATATCCTTCCAATCTTCTATCCCATTCACTCCTCTTAGCCCGCTACTCCATGCTGATCACACCGAAACACCGCCACAAACTGGCTTATGTAGACTCGATATAAATAAGCCATAAAATAATTCAACCGGCGACGATTTAACAAGTCAAAAGCACAAAAAACGAGTTCGTCACCGGTTGTGTGGCGTAACGGTTAGCGTGATGGCTTTGTACCGCAAAGGTAACGAGTTCGATCCCAGGATCGGACGGGAAAAAGTTCGTCGTGTTGGCCGGTATACCATGCAAACGTGCCGGACGTTACGTTGATGTAATTAAGAAAAGCTCCGTGTAGGCGAAGGGGTGAATGAAGAAAACCTTCCCTGCCTCGGGCGCCCTCCCCAGGCATTGCGACCTGGCGGGGGGCGCCCTAGCGGATTTCTTCACTTTATTTACTTAACTAGCCGGCGGGGGGTCGGGAGGCCCCCCCACGCGGGCGCGGAACCGGTCAATCAAGAACTAAGCCAGCCAGCCAGCCCCCGAATTCAACGCCACGCGCGCGCGCGCGTGCGTGTACGTGCAACGCGCGTGTGCGCGCGCGTACCTAGGGGTACAGTATATACATTCTTAAGAATGTACTAGTACGCGTTGCTACGCAACGCGTACTAGTACATTTTTAAGAATGACATTTTTAAATAAGTACGCGTTGCTACGCAACGCGTACTTATTTAAGAATGTACTAGTACGCGTTGCTACGCAACGCGTACTTATTTAAGAATGTCATTCTTAAAAAAGTACTAGTACGCGTTGCGTAGCAACGCGTACTAGTACCATTCTTAAATTAGTACGCGTTGCGTAGCAACGCGTACTTATTTAAAAATGTCTTCTTAAAAATGGACAACGCGTACTAGTACATTCTTAAGATGTATATACTGTACCCCTAGGTACGCGCGTGCACGTACACGCACGCGCGCGCGCGCGTGCGTTGAATTCGGGGGCTGGCTGGCTGGCTTGGTTCTTGATTGACCGGTTCCGCGCCCGCGTGGGGGG